ACAAGCAGGTAAATCTTCCTGAAATCCATTTTTCTGCTTTCCTTTTTTTTTTTTGGGTAAGAAAATTCATTTTTGTCTGCTGATCAGGTGTTTCTGGAGATTGTTCGTCATGCACGAACTATTTAATCAGATATATATATATATATATATATATATATATATATATATATATATATATATATACAGAAAAACTGCAAACGCATGAGTGACTTGTTTCTGGACGTCTTGCAGGATTACACCATGAAGTAAGCACCAAATACTAGCTAGCTATATGCAGAAATAATCAATCTCTTTTTCATTTCACATATATCAAATCATTACCACATATATATATTTATATTTATATTTATAAAAGTTTTAAAAAATAACAATTCATCCGGAGTCATCGGAAAGGAAAGTGTAGCATGCCTTTTGGGTTGGGCCGTGGGTTTCCCTTAGATAGTGGGGGTGTGTGTGTTATATGCGGTTGTTTGGATCGGAAAGGAAAGTGTAGGGGTGAAATTAGAGGGTAGTTTACCTCAGGGAATTAAACCACTGATAATTGAGACCGCGTAGACCAACCAACTCGCCGGCTTTCCATTAACATTTGTCGCTCCGACAACTCACACACTTAAACGTCTGAAATATCTGAGTACGGAATGACAAGGACAATAACGAAAGGGGAAGGTTTAATATATATGCCTGAGAGGATTCTGATGCTACCATGGGAAAGGTTTAATACCTTAAAAGAGGAAGTACAATAATGAACTGTTACTCGAAGAACGACAATGCGGTTTCATTTTTCGCTTTTAGTACTCACTTTTTTTATATAACATTATTATTACTTCTCAGAAACTTTGGGTGATCAATATGATCCTGTCTGCGCACACTACAAATTCCTTCTTGGTTGAAGTGTCGCTCCAACTTGCTTTTTACCATCTTTAAAGATGCAGTTTATAATTGGAGGATTGTTAATGCCACTTTGCTTTTTTATTAATAACATCCTCACTATCATTTTTATTATATGATTTTTATTTATTAGACTGTATAATAAAATAATAGTAAAATTGTCTTTAGCAAATAATAGAGTGCAAATAACATTTTCTATTGTCGTGACAGGCTAGAAACTTTAGTAAGAGAAATTGACAAAATTGTTGCAAAATTTGGGGCTTAGTTTGGGAACTACAACCAGAGATGTAAATGACAAAAGGAAAAACTCAAGTCAAGAGAGAAACTGCACTTGAATTAAGCCAAAAAAATATATATATATATATATACTCACAAAGGCAATTCATGGGAGAAGGGGAAAAAATGGAAAGTTAATTATATCTTTTTCTTTTTATACCTTTATTCAGAAGTTGAATGGAAAAATGTGGAACGAGTTTAGATTCTACTGGCGTTGTGCTTTTGTTCTTTAACATTTTAACAATGAAAAATAATGAGTAGCCCTCACCTCATTTTCTCTCTATTTCTCTCCTGCTAAAAAGAAAAATATAATTTACGCGCATTAAAATTTCGTATCACATTTTTTTAAAAGGCTTTTACATGCATTTTAAGGATAATCTTCCACAAGGACGACTATATTGTTATCAAATTTACCCCAAAAAAAAATAATCACCTTATGCTAAATATCACTATAAACACAGGCAAATACTATCTTAAATAACCAAAAAAAAAAAAGAGAAAATATTTGTAAAAAAATGCTACATTCACATATTAGGTCACAAAAAATTTAAATGCTGGTGATTACAAATGATTAATCCCTTCTAATCAGAAAATATTTGGATATAAATATTATTTGCAAATGATATCTCACTTGTATCATAAGTATATTTTTTGATTGCTTTTTTATATTTCTAACAGCTTATTCTTCTCGCATATATTACGTCATAAAAAAATACTAAAGTATTATTTCAAACAATCTTCTATCCACGTGCATCCAATTTATATGCTTTTCAGCGAAACTTCTGCAATGTGGTATATCACATTGTGGTAAATCAGAGTGATAAAAGAAGAAGGAAAAAAAATTATAAAATAGGGAAAATCATTCAAAATGTCCTGCACATGTTGTCAAATAAAATTTTTTTCTCCTTTACTTTTAAAATGATAACTTTACGTTCCGTATAAAATCAAGTCGGTAATTTTTGGTTCCTACATAAATTTTCAATTACCTTTTTAGTTTAAATCTGTCACATGACCTACATATGATTGCTCTTTTGGGCAAAAATGTTGGATTCCATTAGTTAAATAAATAATTCTATTCATATTCATTTGTATCCCTAACAAAATAAGATCTAATTTGAATCATATTCATTTTTAGCACTAAAAAAGTGGGATCTGACTTTTTTGTACATAAAAAATGATTGTATATAGATTATATAGTGATTTCAGAATAAAAAGTGGTCAGAAATTTGTATTGGAATCAAATTTTACTAACTTAAATTAGTAAATTATTTAAAATTACTATTTTAAATGTAAAATACGAAAAAAAATTCATTTAACGAAATGCGAGAAAAGTTTTACATAATTTTTCCTATAAAATACCACAAACATGATATACCATGTGAATGACTGCACAGCTTCAATGTTGGGGCCAATGTTATCATTAATGTTGGCCCTAGGTTTTTTAGTGCAACAACGATCACATAATTGTACAAGCTGTGAACAGTTGCAGAGGTTCCTTGCTGGGGCCAATGTTGCCATTGATGTTGGCCCAAGTTTTTGAGTGCAACAGCAGTATACTGCTGTCCAACTGGAGAACAACAACATCCGTTGACATTCGGTACAGTAGTAGTATGAAATCATCAAATCTCCAATGAGCCTTCTGTCACACATTAACTCTCTCTCATGCTACGCGGATTATCTCCTAAATTATTACTACAATAATATCTCTAGTTAAATTTAAGGGATAATTTCAGAAACCTCCCCTGAGGTTTCTGATATTTACACTCACCTCCCCTGTGGTTTGAACAATTACACTAACCTCCCCTGAGGTTACTAATCCTTTACAAATTCAGTCCAAATGATTAAAATATTATTTTAGAGAGTGAAATTAGAATTTTGTACCTGATTTGCCCTTTGTGCTACATGTCCAATGAATGACAAAGTATTACAAATTAATTAATAATTAATAAATTTTAAGGAGCGTAGTTTATAGGCAAATACGTATTACTTATTTAAAGTACCAGCTCTTTACAGGTATTTTACTTTCAAATATTTACTTTATTACAAATATTTATTCTCAAATATAGATTTGTATTTACTCTCAAATATTTAATTATTGTTAAATAAAAAACCTACCAGTTTTTCTTCCGTAGAAATATTAATATAACACTTTTTCAATTTTAGTTATAAATATTTATGTATTTAGCATAAATTAAATGATTCAGGATAAAATACTCATAAAGAGCTAATACTTTACTCATGTAATGGATGAAAACCATAAAAAAATTAATACTTTATGGGCCATTTCTTTTTTTTAAAAATATTTAATTTATATTAAATCGATAACCTACTGATTTTCTTTTTGCGAGAATATTACTGTAACACTTTTTTAATTTTTAATCACAAACGTTAATATATTTATCATAAATTAAATATTTGAAAATAAAATATCTGTAAAGGGCGGGTACTTTAAATAGGTTATGTGTATTTGCCTATAAACTACACTCCTTACTTAAATCAATAAACTACACTCCTTAACTTAAATCAGTACAGATATTTTATTTTCAAATATTTAATTTATAATAAATATATTAACGTTTGTGATTAAAAATTAAAAAGTGTTACAGTAATATTCTCGCAAAAAGAAAATCAGTAGGTTATCTATTTACTATAAATTAAATATTTTTTTTTTAAAAAAATGGCCCATAAAGTATTAATTTTTTTATGGTTTTCATCCATTACATGAGTAAAGTATTAGTTCTTTATGAGTATTTTATCCTGAATCATTTAATTAGGGGTGTGCAAAATCGAAAAATTCCGATTTACCGACCGAATTCGAATTGAATTCGGAATTTTCGAAATCGGTAAATCGGAAATCGGAATCGAATTCGGATTTTCCGAATTCATATATTTCGAATTTGGTTCGAATTCGGTAATGGAGTTTTTCAAATCGGAATTCGAATTCCGATTTCGATTTCAAATTCGTTTTTAATATATAAATATATTTTTTATACATGTAATATAAAATTTATACTATATAATATTATATAAAATTTATATAATATAATATAATATAATATAAAATTTATAAAATTTATAAAATATTATATAATATTATAAATTTTATATTATATAATAATATATAAATTTTTCCGAATTCGGTGAAATCGGTGAAATCGGAATTTACCGAATTCCGAATTGAATTCGGTACGAATTCGAATTCGGAATTAGTGAATTCGAAATCGAATTCGGTCGAATTATCAGGTACCAAAATTTCGAAAAATTCCGAATTCAAACTTCCGAATTACCGAATTCGAATTCGATGCACACCCCTACATTTAATTTATGCTAAATATATAAATATTTATAACTAAAATTGAAAAAGTGTTATATTAATATTTCTACGGAAGAAAAACTGGTAGGTTTTTTATTTAACAAAAATTAAATATTTGAGAGTAAATACAAATCTGTATTTGAGAATAAATATTTGTAATAAAGTAAATATTTAAAAGTAAAATACACGTAAAGAGCTGGTACTTTAAATAAGTAATACGTATTTGCTTATAAACTACGCTCCTTAAAATTTATTAATTATTAATTAATTTGTAATACTTTGTCATTCATTGGACATGTAGCACAAAGGGCAAATCAGGTACAAAATTCTAATTTCACTCTCTAAAACAATATTTTAATCATTTGGACTGAATTTGTAAAGGATTAGTAACCTCAGGGGAGGTTAGTGTAATTGTTCAAACCACAGGGGAGGTGAGTGTAAATATCAGAAACCTCAGGGGAGGTTTCTGAAATTATCCCTAAATTTAACTCTTATAAAAAACACATGTAAACAATACTCGAGAGCACATACCACAAGCGTCGTTACATGTTAATGTGTAACAAAAGATCCGGAGCCATCAAATCTCCCCGCCTCGGTTCACACACTTCACCATTACGACTAACTACTCCTATATTACTAGCATTCTCCGCTCGCTCGCTCGTTGCCCGGATCCCTCGTCGCTACTTTCCAACATTTCTACCATGCCTAAGCTGCCGGGGAAAATCCATAATCCTGCACCTTTCTTCCTCTTCATCCTTCTTTGTTTTTCCTTCATTATTTCAGCTACGTCCGGCCTCACCTTTTCATCAGATGTAACGGCCCTTAAAGCCTTCAAAGCCGCTATCAAGCCCTCTTCAATTAAGCCATATTCATGCCTTGGCTCCTGGAACTTCTCCAACGACCCTTGCTCCATTCCTCGGGCTTATTTCTCCTGCGGTCTTTTATGCAGTGGCAACAGAGTAACCCAGCTCACCCTCGACCCGGCTGATTACGCCGGCACCCTGACTCCACTCATTTCCAAGCTCACTCAGCTCCTCACGCTCGACCTCTCAACCAACAAATTCTCCGGCCCAATCCCACAGCTCTACTCCCTAACCAATCTACAAACTCTTGTACTCCGATTCAACTCCTTCTCCGGCACAGTCCCACCCTCTTTAACCGCGCTTAAATCCCTCGAGACGGTTGATCTCTCGCACAATTATCTTTCGGGATCGCTGCCCAACTCGTGGAGCTCGATCGGCAGCTTGAGAAGGCTCGACCTGAGTTACAACAAACTCACCGGTTCACTCCCCAAGCTCCCGCCCAACCTCATTGAGCTGGCGATCAAAGCCAATTATCTGTCCGGGCCGCTTTACAGGACTTCATTCCAGGGGTTAACTCAATTGGAGGTTGTTGAACTCAGCGAGAACTCGTTTTCCGGGACACTCGAAGCTTGGTTTTTTCTCTTGCCTGCTTTGCAGCAGGTGGACTTGGCGAATAACAGCTTCACGCGGGTCGACATCTGGAAGCCTAAGAATGGGAACAGCGACCTGGTGGCCGTCGATCTGGGATTTAACAGAATCGAAGGGTATTTGTCCGTAAATTTCGCGGCGTACCCTTTGTTGTCGTCTCTGTCATTGCGTTACAACCGGTTTCGTGGACCAATCCCGTGGGTGTACAGCAAGAGGGAGTCATTGAAGAGGCTGTTTTTGGATGGGAATTTCTTGAATGGGTCGCCGCCGGCGGGATTTTTCAGCGCGGGGACGTCAGTTTCTGGCAGTTTAGGGGACAATTGCCTACAAAAATGCCCGGTTTCTTCGCAACTTTGCTTGAAATCGCAGAAGCCTTCGGCCATTTGTCAGCATGCCTACGGGGGGAAACCAAGGTCCTAGTGTCAGTCAATTGTCTTCAATTTTTTGTTTTTGTTTTTTACTTTTTGGAAAAAAAAAAAAAACCTGTACAACACAATTTTCATTTTCAAAGATCGTGTAAGATAAAATATACTAGAGCTAGTGTTTTATTCTATTCTATTTTACTTTTTTTTTGTGTTGTGTGGAGACTGGATTTTAGATAATCCGAAGTATAAAATGTTGCATAGTTTTAATAATAATATCCTTGTGGAATAAATTTAATGAAGGATTATTAGTAAGTAGTGGAAAAGCAGTCGTCATTATTCATTAAAATAGAAAAAGTAAGTACAAGTGTCAGGCCAATATTGCAATATGTCAAGTCTTTGACTGATGAGGTGGTGGTGGTGGTGGTGTAACCCTGTAAAGCTGTAAGCGCGAATCTTTCAACTGTTCAGGCGGCCTTCGGACAAAAATTTGTAGCTGGGTACGACAATTAAGTCGATGCCCTCGTGTCGTATGATATCACACGAATGTGGTTGTTGACCACGTTTTCGTTTTTGCGGGCAAAGCCCCCTATTTGTTGCTAAACTTATTCAACTTAGAAGAAGTCAGGTATTTACTTCGAATTTTTAACTCAAGAATGCCTCCAAAGAAATTTACTCCACCGACTAATTTTCTCCTTGGAGTCTAAATACTAATTGCTAACTGATGTATGGATCAAAGCCTCGCCAATTAAAATGTTATCCAGTTTCAATGCAATTGTGTAATTCATACCACAAGTTGAAAGTCCGCGGCGGCAGTTGGGCACGGTCAATTTGGATGTCGGCATACCCGACGGAGGGTGAAGACGTTCAATCCTTTTTTGGTGGCTTTTATTATACTTTTTAGGCCCCAGATTTTATCGCGTGGCCCATCGTACTTACTCTTCTTTGCCTTGGACAAGGCCCCATACTCGGACCAGTGTCCTTTGGTATTCCACAAATTGTCATATCATATAAATGCAACCAACTGGCATTAAGCTGACCAAAGGCTTTAAATTTTGACGGGATAGAAGGTCAATAATTTGCCAAAATATTTAATTTTCTTAAATTTATATACGTGCACTCTATCTCCGTTTGATCTGATAGTAGTTCAATCCCTGTCATTGGCTTCCTAGTAGGTCCAATTGTGCTTTCCTTCCTTGATTAGGTTAGAGTAGGAGTAGAAATAGAATTAGAGTAGATAAATGACGAATGACAATATATATATATATATATGCTCTTCGTAATTCCATTTTTATGGTTTTAGGTTACCAGCGACTTTGTGTGTATGTGTTTAGCAAGTCAACTGTCAAAGAAGTAGTAATTGAGTAGAGTACAGACAACAAACTTGAGACATGGAAACTAAAAATAAAAAATTCTGTATAGTCGTACGAACTATTGGATTTAATGTATTTACCATATCCATCAAGTACTTTCACATTTTCGTGAGTAGCAGAAGCATTGTAATGCACAATCCTATTGAAATGAATTTTAACTAGAGATTTATCCCAAGTTTTATGAAGAGCAGATGAGGAATTATGAGAGTTAGCATGGCGGCTAATCAATGCGGATTTCAATATAGAATCAGGAAACTTAAAAACGAAACGTAATTGTTTAAGGATGCGGAAATGTATGGTCCTGCATGGGCTAGTTTTGAGTTTAAACAGATGCCTAGCTGTTCAGGAAAGGTGCTTAGTTCGTGTTTATTTGTCTTGTTATATATATATGCTTCAGCAGAAGGTTTTTTGGAGCTCAGTACAGCAAATTTTTTTTTTTTAGAGTTTAGTACAGCTTAGAGTCAGCCGAAAGCAATTAAATTTTATACCACACGAACATGAACCACTGTTTAAATGCAGGAAAAAACAGTTGGCAAAGATGCTTTAACCTAACCCTCTTCAATAATTAATGAGCAAGTTCAATGATTATGTCCCACAAGATTGGCGGCACATCTTTAAACTAAACGCATCATCAATTAACTAACTAAAATCAGAAAGGGATGGTCCGTCCGCAAACTTCTTCCTTTGCTGAAGCCCTGATCACAGATCGATAATGGTCCGTGATACAAACAATTCCCATTTGACCAAGATTTACCTTTCTTCTACCAAAATTGTCCTTCCTTCTCTTCCCCTTTCTTGTCACAACTGCAAATCTTTTATCTGTCAATGGAGGCCAACGATAAGGGATTGAGAATGGTCCATCATTTGCCATTCGTCGCTTTTCAACAAGATAATCATTGGGATACCATAGGCCTAATGATTTTGCTTCCAACTAATCATTAAGATTATTAAGATAAATGAGGAATACTATTGGGCCACTTTCAATGTTAACAAATACGTCATCGCGTGCTCCAGCACATTAAATTGTTTATTAGTTGCCTGATGAGTTAATGAATCTACAATATAATAGTCATCTCAAAAATCTGCATTACACCATATTTTCGGTTGATTTCTTAGTCGTTACCTGCATAAAGAGAAATTATTCTCTCGGATTACAATGCACATGCATGGTTCCATCATCCACTTGGATATTTGCAGAGTAAATTAAATAAAATAAAAAGAGAGGAGGTTTGCATGAAGCAAAATATCAAACTTACAATTAGATTTGGAATCGAGAGCTTTCAAGACTTGTACATAGAATTTGACCTAATCGAGTTATTCAAGCCACTTGAATTTAGATTGAGTTTGACTAACGTGAGCTCGAGCTAAAATGTGAGCTCATTCAACTAGTTGAATTGCTCAAACTTGATTGAGTTCGATCAATACAATCTTGAATTTGAGTTTCGATCGAGTAAACTCGTAAATAGTTTAATTAAGCTCAAGTTATTTGCTCCCCCTACTATTACTACTACAGTAGTACATTGTGGTCACGATTGAAGAAATAATAGTTTTGCTTTCATTTGCCAAACGGTGCTTTAGTTGATTTGTATACATTGAAACATTCTTCGTCATTGAAAAACTTATGAAATGTATGGTGCTCATGAACTTTAAATTCTTTTGATGTCAAAATATAATTAACAAAAAAATATGCGTTTGGACAGAAGGTTATTCAGAAATTTTTTAAAAATAATTATCATAATAATTTTTTGATATGATGTATATGAGATAAAAATGTGGTTGACAAGATAAAAAAAAAAATTGACACTTTTTCACTGTCTCTCTATCTCTCTCTCTGTGTGTGTGTTTTTTTTTTACGAGACACTTTTTCAATGAGCTAAAAAAAAAAGACACTTTTACACTGTCAGAATTAGAAAAACTGTTTGCAATCATGGAGTATGGAGCGTAAGCTAAAGTATTGCCACTGAAGACTTATCTAGTGGAGTGGGAGAGTACTGGACGACAGGCCCAAGCAATTGTAGAGTCTTATCGCATGAACCCACCGTCCCATTCTGTAATCCAAGCCATTACTTTAGCCCAACACCAACACGTGGGCAACGGCCCACAAAGTGTCCCACAAATGGCACCCACTTTCACGCTCGGCTTCCTACTGCCTCTGGAGTTGGCTCTCTCCGAAGTTTCACATCGCTGAACCAGTTTTCTGGGGAAAAGCTCCGGTTTCATATTGGAGTCGTTATTACTGAAATCCAAACTTTTTCCACAATCTCCCAAAGACAAAAATTCCACGTTCAGAGGCGGATTGTCCAAATCATGGGGAAACCTAGCTCGGGGTATGCTTCTCCAAGACGACTTAATTATTTACTTCTTATTTTGGGTTAAATATTTCACTGCTCATGTCTTTATTTGTAATTGTTGCTTTATGTGAACGTGTTTGTTCAGAACTGAGGCGAAAACCACTCGTGCTGAACGCAAATTCGAGAAGAAAGTGCAGTTTTATTCCAGTACGCTTCCTTTGTGAAATTTACTTGCTGTTACGTATTTTTTTTATGTCAATTAACTGATTAACTCTGAGTTTGTTATAGAGTTTAAAGGATTTATGCATTTCTTCCAGTCAATTTTATTATATTGGCGCTCTTTCATAAATTTTTGTTTTTGGTAGTAAACCACCAATCAGGAAGATACTTGGAATCCTTTTTCCTCCATAATTTACCAAAAGTTTCAATATTTTTCTGTCCTTGGGCTAGTCTTCTGCCAAGAATCTGAGGTGTTGGGTTTGGAATGTGGAGAAAAGGGGGTGGCGGAAGTTGGTTCTTGGGGGTATATCGAGGTGTAAAGATAGTAATCTGAAGCTTTCATTGTAAGAGAGAGGATCCTTTGGAGCTTTCGCAACTTGATGTTTACCGATGTTAACTTGCAAGTCTGTTTGGTAGTTGGGTGCTTTCTTGTTTTGCGTTTTCTGTCCGTCTGAGATGTCAAATCTCTGATTCTTTTGTTTCTTTTTCTTTTGGTTTTTCTGGAATTTTCATTGCAGAGGTCAGAGATACAGTTGCTTCCTTAACAGCCCAAAAAGCCATTACCAAGGTAGAGAAGTTTTCACTGGCTTCCTGAATGCTTGTTTTCAAAACTGGCTTTGTCAGATTTTAACTAAGATTGTAGCTGCCATAAATATTCTCCAACAAGTTTATACTAGGACTTTTGAGTTATGAAGGAAGATAGTTTATTCTTCGGGAGTGGTGTTCTTTTGCTTGTGCTATTCTTGGACAATAATTTCTGCATCATCATGGAAACTGTCACCAGTGATTTTGAGCCAACTTTCTGTTTGGGACTCTGCTGTTTGAATTATTAGTGCTAATCCATAAGGTCTTCCATGGGATGTTGTCGGGATAGATTTCTCGAGCATTACTTTTCCTTCTTTGTCAGAGCATACTAGATAAATGAACTAACTTGCACAGAATTAAATGGGATCAAAGGAGTTGAGACTCTGGAATTCATTTCAATGTAGACAAACTGCACACAAACTGCAACATAGTGCAGTTTGTCTACATTGAAATGAATTCCAGAGTCTCAACATAGTGTTTTTCAACAACAAAAAAAAAAAAAAAACTGCAACATAGTGAACCAATAGTTGCAGAAGGAGTGAAACGATGTTGTTTGTTGTGCCAATATCCACAATCTCCCTGCTAATATTGACCAGTGACAAAAACTTGTACAATTAACTCTTTTTTGCTACTACTTTTTACATTCTTTGAAAGATATGTGATGTGCTGTTTTGATCTATTAGAAGAAGACAAGGAGTCGACAAAAGAAACTAAAGGCATATGACTTTTCCTCCCTCACTGAGTTTCTTCCCGAGTTGAAAACTCCTCAGCAAAGATCTCCCCTTCCATCAAAGCTCAACAGCAAAACCAGGCAAAATCTAGTGTCAGCACTTGACTATTGTCAACAGTGTTTTGGTTTAACCATGTTGTGTTTACTGCTAATTCAAACATGTGTAAATATTTAGGTTGAAGGAGGGAAATCAGTTGAAGACAGTTCTTAATCACCCTGCTTTCCAGTCAGATCCATTAGGATCCATCCATCAACATCTCCAAAATACACAGCCTCTTGCTGATAAGAAACCTAAACCGAAGTACAATAAGAGTGAAAGCAAGAAAGCAAAACGGAAACGATCTAAAGCTTCAAGAGGGCCTCAACAAATGGAAGTTTGAATTGCTGTGTGGGCGTTTTACTTTTATGTTCCATTGCAATTTTTTCAATGGCATTTATTGGGTCGAAAATGTGGAGGGAAAGTACTTCCATCAAAGGATAGATGTTTGAAGCTAATTTGTTATGTCTCTTTTCTTGTTCGAGGAGATTGCATGGAGCTGGAGCGAGCTGCTTCTCCTGCACCTGTGTGACTTGAACATTAAGATCTGCATGTGCTGACTAGAGTTAGAAGAAGTAATACTGCAGATCAGGATAAAGGTCTTCACAGCTTCCTGCTGCGTTGTTTGTAGTTTCTCTAAAGCTAAATTTTAGCCGACTGTTCTTTAACCTGATCAACATTATCCAATGTACATGTGTAAGACTTACATTTATCTGGTGAAACAATTTTGATGTTAAGGTTTGGCATGTGTGTAGACACATCATATGTGAATTTAACATAAAAGTACACCATTTGAGAGTATTGGTTTGCCAATAAGTGTAGTCTAACCAATAATTACTTGGAAGTCAGTAATGCGAATGCTCATCCTCTCTCCCTTCAAATTAGTTGAATATATGTCAAGGTGATTGCTGATACTCATATCTAGTGGGCAGTTTAGATTGTTTTGTTGTCTAGTTCAATAGTTCAAAAAAGTAATTCAAATGAACCTTGTGGGAGTAAGAATAGGACAACGAGTATATCAGCAGATTGTGTTCTCATATTACAATTGAGCTGCAGGTACACAACACTTTTTTTAACTCTTGGAGGCAGATTGGAAGATAAAAACTGCTGTAAGAACACCCACTAATGCTGTAACTGCCAATGCCACCGTTGGCAGGGGAGTTGTCAGACCAAAATTCTGCAAATGAAATTACGATGGATTAGCGAAAATGAAAAGACTCTGCTTAAATACATGGAGAAAATTTAATTCCTTGGCTGAATTATTTACTTCGAGTTTGTGACCGGTAAAACCTAACAAAAGCATGCTGTAAGAGAATTCTAATGTTAACAGCTTTTTGGGGCGATCTTGAATGATGAAAATGGCTGGGAGATACCTAGACTATGGGTGTACAACATTGCTAATTGATTTGGTCAAAACTTGTTTGATGCATCTTTACTTTTTTGCACCGTAACATATTAACTAGGCACCCGCAAAAATTATTGGTTAGCACTAAACTCTCATGAAGGCTGCCTACTTGATCTTTACGGATAAAGAGTTGTTGCACCATTAAATAAAATCTTACTAGTAAATAAAGTATCATGCGAAGTGGATAAAACATCAGTAATTCTGATGGAGTTTGCACGTTAAAGCTTTTAACAAGAACAAGAAGAAAGCAAACATCACGAGACTATAAATACCGACAAAAAATTTGTATTGTAGTCTTTTTTTTTTTTGGTTGTGGATTAGTGGTTTTAACAGTTCTGTTATCAGGCATGTATGTATCAAGAAAAGCAAAAGTGCAGAGTGTCAAACCTCCAGAAGTCCTTTGCCTGTTCCTATTTCAACACTAATAGCCGCTGCAAAGCCAACCATTGCAAATCGACCAAGCCACACATCAACGCTGTTGCCCCCTTTGGCACCCTGCTCACATTTTATTGACACTGAAGTAGCTTTGCTTGCAGCTTTTGTTGAATAAGAAGATCTCTGAACTGCTGGAAACAGAAACGAGGATACCATCTTATGAATTTCCTTAGATAGGGGACAAAGGGGGGAAAAATTGGTTTCTAAATCTTACAGCAATAGCTAAACGCGAAGAAACGCAAATCTTAATTTGCTCTTTCTTATTTGCCTCTCAGCATTCCAAGCAGAAAAACAACTTACGTTCTGACATACACGAAAACAAAACAGAACTCGCAAAGCATATGTAATTTAGGTGGAAATGAGACACATTATAAAAAAAAAAAATTCTTATCCTTATAACAGAGTTGGCTCCATGTTATTTTGGCATTCCAACATTAGACCATCATCATAGCTAGTGAGCATAAGACTAAACTGAAAGGAAACATCATTAGGATGACAATTGATTCGTGTCGGAGGGATAAGAGTGCATAAATTAAAAGGCCTTGAAGTGCTGAAGATTTGAGTAGCACATTACAATGTAAAGAGCAGCAGTGCGAGAAAAGTTTTAGCAATTTAGCATGCCAATTGCCAAGCGAAAGCGAAGGTACAGACTACCATCTCAGATGACTGATGAGGAAATTTGACTCAATGTCCTAACTTGCATTTCCAGTTGCTCACAAGCCTAAGGTTGAAGTATAGTAATTATAGTTGTTTTTACTCCACATAATATATGCACTACAAGATAAATATTTAATCAGAGAGTGCAGGCTAATCTTCAAGAATTTTGTAAACAACAAAAGCATAAAATCTGTTTGACCCTCATCCACAAGCTAATTAATAGTACTTCTTCTAACCATCCATCTCCCCCCCCAACCCCAACCCCAACCCCAACCAAAAACAAAAAACCAAAATAAAAAAAATAAAAAAAAAAGCGAGTGAAAGGTATTCAACATACGAAGAGGAGAGCCGGAAGCGAAGGTAGTTCCAAATTTAGCAACACCACTGATAGGAATTCGAGCAGCAGATGAAATCCTTACTGGGTTTGAGACACAAACATCTGTAGAAACGTGAATTCCGTCACATCAGGAACTATAAATCACATGAAGTTTCATTCACAAGCCGTCGTGTAAAATAAATGAACAAGTTTAAAAAAAAAACAAAAACAAAAACAAAATAGAGGAGTGGATAGATGAGCTGAAACCTCTAACGGAAGTGTAAAGACAATTGGAGACTTGAGCCAAAGCCATTCTGAGGTGGGACGCTATTGAAAAAAGGGTGCTTCAATTACTACTATGTACGTGTTCTTCCTCGAAGCAGCTTGAATAACTGGTGCTGCTGCTTCCCCAGGTTTTGGATTGATAAGAAAAGGCCGTGAATTTAATATTGCTGTTAATGTATATGAGGAGGAAAGGCAGCAGGTACCACAGGTGTCATATCCATATACAGCTTGAGGAAGCGAGTGGAATAAATGTATTAGATTAGCTTCTTTTTTTTCTTTTTTTTTATAAGTGAAAGTTGTTGGATTTTTAACTTATACTTCCTCCGCCTCTATAGTCCAATTCATCCTTTCCTTCCTTCAAAAAAACCTCATCCTTTCCTCATGTCACAATCAAAGAAATGTAGAATATTTTTTTCTATAAGATCTCTGGGCCGAGGAAATGAATTATTTTAATCTCCATTTACATGCGTACACTCCCTACTAGTTTGCAGTTACTCAAATATAAGTGAAAAAAATGCAGAAATTATGACGTAAGAAGTGATGGGATTGAAATTAAAAATTGCTTTTGTGTTCCGCAATTAAAAGTAAATTCCACTAAAATATTATCAAACTAAAATTGGCTACACAAAACGTTCTTATTAATGTTTAATTTATAATGTCAACATAAAAGAAAAAAATTATAATTATAACATAAAAAACCTTGAGTTACAAAATTTTGTAACTCAAAATTTTGTAACCATTTTAGAGAAAATAGTTTGTTTAACCATTTTTGAACCTTGAGTTACAAATTTTTTTCTCAAAAATTTTAATTGTTTTAGAGAGAAGAGTTTGTTTTTTATTTTGTTAATTGTTAGTTTTTTTTAGAGAGAATGGTTTGGTTTTTATGTTATAATTTTATCTTTTCTTTTTGTGTTGGTTTCATATCATTTTTTCAAAAAAAAAAGTTTTTTTTTTGGATGAAAGGGTTTGTTTTTTATGTTATAATTTTTATTTTTTTATGCTGATTTGATGTCATGTGCATATCAGGTATAAGTAGAATTGGAAGGAACTGAGGTGATGTGTTTAATTTTATGCCTAAAATTGATTTATTCTAGGACTAATTTGCCTCATTTTGAGGGCGTGGAGAACTAATTTGCTTCATTATAAAAAGTAAGGGACAAAAATGGTTTTCTCTTCCAAAGTATGAGGGACGAAATAGGTTATTTTTCCAAGAATCAAAGTAATATGTAGTCAATCCCTCCAATATTTGTGTGTTTTAGAATTATACTCACTTTGTCAAATAAAAATAGACTTACTTTCTTTTTGTATTAGTCTCAATTTATAGGACTATATTTTTTAAAGGGTGGTTATCTTGTTGATTTACTAATATGTTCATATTTAATGTGCATTGTTATCTGCAAATATTCAACTCTAATGGTTAATTATTCTAATAGGAGGAATAAACACAACACTAAAAACTATATATCTACCATATATCGAGTCAATTATTGTAGCATTGATTAGATTGAATCTTGCATTGAAAAAATAAAGGATTTTTTTTAACGGGTACTCAATGAGCACTTGTTAATATAATTAAATTTCATCTAATTTATCATGTATATACACACACTAATAATTATAATCTTTCCTTGGATTTATACACTTTTTCTAATTAATCTTACATTTCTAAAAATCTAACATTTGAAGTATATCTTAATGCATGCCCAACGAGCATCTATTAAACAGACCTAAAAGTAAATAGTATTTAGTTTCGAATCAACAATACAAATCATCTACTTTGGATGAGTCATTTAATATTGATAAGGGATATGTTAGGAAAATAGTAAATAAAATTTTTTTGAAGAAAAAAATAGCAATTAGTTGAACAATAATAATTTATACTTCTTAATGTGTGTGAAATAGGAAGTTGGCCTGTCCCATCTTTATGAACGGCGGGAGTAATATGTTACTTCCGTACCAGTTTCTTAACTAATTATAATCATTAATAGAAAAATTGAATAGAGTTTATGGATTATGCAAGTGACGCTTTACAGTCACAGCTTATATGATATTTGTTTTTATATGTGCTCTTATTTCAAGTAAAGTGATTTTGTAATCTGAAGAATAAAACGACGGAAAAAGAAGAAGTAAAGTTAGTAGCAGTACTTCCTCAACAAACGGAGTACCAACTAAATATATAGAAATGGCCCCCCACGGGCAGCTCAGCTGGCTTGTGTAGCCTCGTTAGGTAAGACAGGTCTGGGGTTCGACCCCAAGGCTGAGTGTTTGGGGTAATACTCTCGGGGATCGGTGGGGCCCGCTCTCCCCGGGCGATGGGAATAGTGGCACAGACGGTATTACCAGTCCGGAGTGACCGATATCCAGCGACAAAAAAAAAAAAAACTAAATATATAGAAATGTGCCCCACCCCCGGGCTAGAGCTGGTGGTAGTAGCCTAGTTAGGTGAGTATTACTGCAAAGGTTCGAATCCTGGGTGCAACGGTCAGTGATGTTGGGCAGTGTCAGGCTGCTAAGTATAAGGACTGCAGCATAATAAAGGCTCAATCTGAGCATTGGTCTGTTAATTCAATAGAATTGTACAAACGATGCTGTTTTGGTCTTACTTAAGTACTAGTAAATGATGTCGTTTCATGTAATGAGCCATTAGTTAGGTAATTCAGTTGTAAACGTCTGACACAAGCTGTTAGAATTGGTTATATTAGGAGGGACCCACATGAATGAGGATAACAGATTTGATGCGGTCATTTCTTCCACTTCCTCTCTTCTGAATCTTCTTCTCTCTCTCTCTCTCTCGACCTTCAATTCCTTTCTCCTTCTCCAATTTCCCCAATTTCTACCAAACTCATCCTAGATCAATCACACAATTCCAGAAACAACCTTGAGTTCGTGACAAAGTGGCATCAGAGCAGTAGATCCTTGGAATTTGCAACACAATCATGGCAGAGAGCACAAGATTTCGCACCATCGAAGAGCAAGTCAGGAAACAAGAAATCAAGCTACAGGAATTGATTGAATCCCTACACACTTCCAAATCTGAACACCAGCAAATCAAGAAAGACTTGAAGGTGGAGCTTGAAGAGAACAACAGGCGGATGGAAGGCCTGTTATCAGGAATGGAGCAGAACTTCACTCAGATGTTTGAGCAGAAATTCAATGATCTGCTACTGAAGCTGAACTCTGGCAGGGAACAAGCAAACGAGGGGAGTAGCAGAATGATCGACCAGCTGCCACTCCTACCAACTCCACCAGCTCATCAGAGATTAACCACAGACTACGAGACTCAGAGATCCTTCAGGAAGGATGGGAGTAAGTTTCATATTCCAAATCCTCCTAAGATTGATTTACAAATGTTTGCTGGAGAAAATCCTAGAGAATGGTTACGTAAATGCAACAAATATTTTTTGAACTATCAAGTTCCAGAAGAATATAAAGTAGATGTTATTGAAATGTATTTGGAAGGCAGGGCTGATAAGTGGTTCCAGGGAGTAAAAATTGCGAAACCTAAGCTGAGTTGGGAAGAATTTGCGAATCTGCTATGCTGCAGGTTTAATGATAGGACCTGTCTAGATATAGTGGAAGAATTTAATAAACTACAGCAGATAGGCAATGTTGAAGAATATCAGGAGAAATTTGAGGAATTAAAGGCCTTGATGATGATAAGAAATCGAAGTCTGGATGAGACTTATTTCATTTCTAGTTTCATAAGTGGACTAAAGGAAGAGATCAAACCTATGATCAAGATGTTGAAACCTGCTACTCTAGCTGAAGCATTTGAACTGTCTCAGTGGCAAGAGTATGCACTGAAACTGCAGAATAAGAATTCTAAGGAGAATGTCAAACCACTAGGAGAAAACAAGCTTGGATTGTCAAGAAACACTAGTACAGCATTTGGGATTAACTCGTATAGGATTCCAAACCACAGCAGCCCCAATCATCCTAAATTAGCCAATCGGCAAGAAGGCACTAAGGAACCTAGGAGACTCTCTGCACAAGAAATGCAGTATAGGAGGAACAATGGACTGTGTTTCAAATGTGGAGAGAAGTATGGAGTTGGCCATCAGTGCAGGGTTGGCCATACACACTGTATGATGTTAGAAGAAGAAGAGGAAACTGCATTTGAGGATGCCTTGGGAGAGCAGGATGAACATACTGGGAATCCTGGTCAATCCATGGAAATGTCTCTGCATGCATTATCTGAAGCCTTGAAGAGGAAGACAATCACACTCACAGGAATCTTAGATGGAGAAGAGGTGCTCATCTTAGTAGATACTGGAAGCTCTGACAGCTATATCAGCAGTGAACTGGTTATTGGAATGGATGTCAAGTACAAGTGGGTGGATCAGCCTTTCTCAGTTATCATGGGAAATGGAACTACTGTCACCAGCAATGCTATTTGTCCTGGTGTACAGTGGAGCATTAACCAGCACAAATTCAAATTCGACCTCAAGGCAATGGAACTAGGAGGGTGGGATATAATATTAGGCGTAGACTGGATGACACACTTCAGTCCCATCACCTTTGATTTCCAGCAGCTCAGGATATCACTGCATCATGAAGGAGGGGAGATTCACCTACACGGGCAGGCAGACAATTGTGACATGGACCTGATCAGGGGCAAAGATTTGAGGACATTCATTGAATACAAAAAGCAGATGTGCATGGCCATGTCTTCCCAACAGCAGGAGGGAAGCAGACTGGAGTCCATCCCACAGAAAGTACAGGAACTACTGAAGGAGTATGAAGACATATTTCAGACCCCCAGTTCATTACCCCCTAGCAGAAGTGTGGACCATGAGATACCCCTTAAACCAGACGCTCAACCATTCAAACTCAAACCTTACAGATATCCTCACTGCCACAAGGAGGAAATAGAGAGACAGGTGACTGAAATGCTGCAGAAAGGTATTGTAAAACACAGTAACAGTCCTTTTGCCTCCCCTGTGCTACTGGTCAAAAAGAAAGAAGGAACTTGGAGGTTCTGTGTGGACTATAGGAAGCTGAATGACCTCACTATCAAAGACAGATTTCCAATACCCAATGTGGATGAATTGCTGGACGAACTGGCAGGAGCTGTGTTCAAAACTAAGCTGGATTTGACTGCAGGTTATCATCAGATCAAAGTCAAAACTCAAGACACCTACAAGACAGCTTTCCAGACGCATTGTGGACATTTTGAGTTCTTGGTTATGCCATTTGGCCTAACAAATGCCCCTGCAACATTCCAAGCATTGATGAACCAGGTA